CATTTATGGTTTGATTTCTTTGTATGTATGGATCACTTGGGTTGTTACCGACATCTGGTGAAAATTTCATGTCATTAGCACCTCTAGTAATAAATTACTGAGAAAAATGGTGACGTGTTCAATACTTATTTTACCCGCTGTAAATTAAAAAGATGTAGGAAAGGCTGTATTTACGGGAACTTTAGGTGGGTTGAAATCCGTGTTGTAGACTCTGCCGCTTGCAATGTGAGTCCACCGAGAAGTCAGTCTTTCTTTGATGGTCTGGAAAGGCACGTCGAGGTTGATGACTGTGTCGATCACGTAGGCCTGATCCAGAGCTTCTGCCTGCGGCACGGTACGAGGAAATCCTGGAGGGGAAAGAAAGAAAGACAAGGCGAGCAAAATATAAAAAAGAAAAATGTTAAATGAAACATATCTTGTGTGCAATCTATTGGTGCTGAGATTATATGATAGGGAGGAGCCTCAGCTGCCGCCATTCTATTTTTTAGCTCTATTTATGTAAAATTAACTAAATCGTAGCTATTTTTGTGTTTGTTGCATTTCATTAAATAATACAGTATATCTTGATGGGTAAACTAAAAGTTAAGTAGTTGTAGATTTACATCAAATAAATATGTTCCGAGAGTTTCATTAAAATCTCTGCACTGTTTCATGATATACTTTGCTAAGAGACCAACAAACACACACACACACACACACGTGCAATTACTTTGTGACTGAAAACATGGTGAACCAAACCATCTGTTGAGTAGTTTATCTGACATCAGGGAGCAAACTGCAAACAGCCGCTCCCATGTTTTGAGACCTTGAACAGTGGAAGCTGATAAARTGTCCCTTTTAGAGTCAATTTACAAAAAAAAAAAAAACAAGTTCTCCTACCATCCAGCAGCCAGCCACTGTGGTCTATCCTCCTCAGGTTGCTCAGGATGATGCGGGACATGATGGCGTCAGGGACCAGCTGGCCCTGATCGATGCAGGACTTCATCAGCAGGCCCAGCTCTGAAAAACAAAAACAGGAAAAAGCAGGGTTGCCAGATCAGACCGACAGTTTCCAGCTTAAACACAACATAAAACTCGCCCAATTACAAAAGACAGCCCAAATCTTAATCTCCATCGAGACTTATGTTAAAGGCATAAAAGCATGTGTGTGCATGTAACTGTGTGTGTAAAATAAATATATACATTAGTCTGGTACATATCAGCTTTGTACCCAGCATATGTACTCTGTACTTATACCACCAAACACATTGGGGCTGCATTTTATGGAAGACGATAAGGGCCACTGGAAAAAAAAAAATCAAACTTTTATCTCAGAATTTTGAGAATAAAGTCAGTATCTTTTTATTTTTTTCAGTGATCCTAATCCTCGTCCATAGAATTATGTATTGCTTCTTTAGTGTTTTTGAGCAAATTAAAAGCTTATCTTCTTTAATTCTCCATTCTTTGTCACTGTATTTCATGTGTGATTTATTATTTAAGGGATACCTACCTATCATGGTCCTGAATGCTTTTTTGTCTTGTCAGTTAATAAATGTAACTTTGTAACCTCAAAAATAAAATCCAAAATAAAAATTTCTAATTTTTTTTTAAAAAAGTAAAAGTTTTTAGATTTGTGGTAGTTTATCATGTATAATACATATTGATTAAGATTTCTAACAAACTTGAACAAAAATACTTAGATGATTATTTTAGGAAAGTGTCAATGCAACACAGAATCATGGTGAACAAAGACCTGTTCGTAACTTTTAATTTTACAATTTTGAAACATCCATACCATTATGTGTCGTAGAACTTCTTCATATTGTTTACAGCTAAAAACTGACATTCACAGCTGCTGATACTTTACCCTAACTTCCACAAAATCTTTCTTTCTCAGTGTTTGTAAGCAGGAAATGTGCTAATCTCTCAATCCCAATAAGATTTGTAACAATCAATAGCCTTATTCTGGTGTAAATTTAATCATAGAAAACAACAGAGAAGGTCATGACGTTTCCGAATTCTTTGTATGATTTGTTAGAACAAACAAAGTCTGGAGGACAAAGAGTATTTTCTTAGAGAGCGGCTGACAAGGTAAACAAAATGACAGTCCAGTAGAAGCAAACACTGCGTAAGTTTAAATAGATTCCTGCAAATAAATCTATATTTAGTGAGGGGGAAAAAAATTATGTAACTTTTCAAAAATTTGAAATTACCTCCCCCTCACCCTACCCCTTTTTTTTGTTTTCCCATCTCACTTCCGCTTTAACTGGTTAAACTCCAGCTAAAAATAAGAAACGTCTTGCACAAACTACCTGACTTGGTTGTTAACCAGCTGCTGATACCAACAGGAAACAGTGCTGAAGGTCAAACTGCCTCTGACAGAGCAGGAACGCATCAAGGACTCAAGACAGCAGGCCGGATGAATAAATCTGAGTTTGAATACAAGGACACTGTGTGCAAAACTTAACCAGGAACGACTACTGGGAAAAGTCTTAAACTGCAACGCAAACTCAGAATGATTCATGAGAACTTTCAGGAAGAATCAAAGAGGTGAGGAGTCAGCAGTTCAAGTCAAAGGACCTGCTGGAGGGATTCAGTCAAATAGTACTGACTCAGAAAAACAACTAAAGCATAAAATATACTTACACTAGCATGAATATATTGATCTTTAACAAGTCTAAAATCAATGTATTTGTGCTGAGTACACAAATATGTTTAGTCACTTAGATGAGTTTAGTTGTGATGCAAAGACTATTAAAACTGAAGCTGAGAGTCATCCCCAACATGTACTTAGCTTAATGTTTCACAATATATAACAATAAAATAAGGATAAATTCCAAACATGTACCATCCGTACAAGGCTTCAGTCCTGTTAGAAACTTTCCACAGACGAGTTCCTCTGTCATGCAGCTTTTATAAACAGTTTCTTTAATCAGTAATCCTTTCTCTGAAGGAACAAAAGTTCACAGTTGTGGTTATCTTTACAGCTCTTTTAATCTTCAGCCAAGGTAACACTGAGGAGCAGCTTCAGCTGATCTCCTTCCAATCCTCGGCTAAATGTTTGCAGTAGAAACAATAAAAAGAAAACACGTACATTGCCAGCAGCCAATAAAATTCAAAAGAAGAAGAAGAAGAAGATTTAATGAGAGGAGACCTGGACTTTCATGAGTGGTGTGTCACAGCCAGATAAGAAATGTACAGGAGTGGTGCTCTTATCACAAAACGCAGAACCCCTTTTAGCTGATTTTTAATCTTTTACAAATGAAACCATTCACTGCAGTAATTACATTTTCTGCCAAAACTGCATCAATTTAAAAGAAGCTGAAACAACGTTAAAGATAAAAGAAGCAGAACAACAAACAAAAAGCTAAAAGTAACAAAACACTAGAATAATGTTCAGGCTAAAACCATCATGGCACCAGCTAAAGACTGAAAAGCTAAAGTGGCTAAAGGCGAGATTAAAGCTAAATGTAGCAAAGGCTAAATATAGATATGTAGTAAAAGACTAGGTAGAAGCTGAAAGCAGCAAAAGGCTAGATAAACATAATAGCTAAAAGTAGCAAAACGTTACCCAAAAGCAGAACAGGGTTAGCTTAAAGCTGCAAAAGGCTAGGTGTAGCAAAAAGCTAGCTAAAAGCAAAGCATCAAAAACTGGTCAAGAGTTAAAAAAATAGCAAATGGCTAGCTAACAGGAGTAGCTAAATGCTATTAGCAGAAGAAAAACTAGCTCAATCTAACAAATATCTTACAGCAAAGAGTAGCAAATAGATATTTTTAAAAAGGCTAAGCTTTTTATCTAAAATTAGCAAAAGACTACCTTATAGCTAAAAGTTGCAAAAGGCTCAAAGTTAAAAGCAGAGTAAAGCAGATTTCAAAGTGAACAATGTTTTTGAAGAAACTRAAGATATTTTATTGCGTCATGGTGAAAACATTTGTAAAGATTCATATTTTTTAAAGTTTAAACCCATAGTGCCATCTCTTGAGCTGTAGGGTAGCAGAACAAAGTCTGCAGAAAGAGTTTGATTCAAAAACAAAAGGTCCAGATAAATAAAGAGGAATCTCACATGCAGTCCTTCGTGGATTACTTTTGCTTTTGTTTTCTCACCTGTTTTTTCCTCGATGTTGGCTCTTAAAATGTCCCCACTGGAGATGTGTTGGAGTCCAAAAGTTTTAATAATGCGCCCGGACACGGTTCCTTTCCCGGATCCCGGAGGTCCCATGATGACAGCACGGATCAGTCTCTGCACAACCATCTCCAGTCGGCCGGCTGGTGTTTTCAGTTTCAGCTCAGATGCACCTCTCTTTCCTCCGGATCGGTAGAAAATGCCCCCCGGAACAGGTTACGTGAACAATGGGCGAGTCTTGGAGCAGTCACTTCAGCCCTTCGAGAGGAGGAAGAGGAGGGGAAGGAGGAGGAGAAAAATGAGAACCAGGCGATTCTACGCCAGCAGGGACCAAATGGAGATGCAGACCTCTGCAGATCCACCTGAAAAAGCCTTTTTTTTTTCATATGTTGAGAATAGCTTAATTAGACGTGCATGTATTGTATAACACCGTTATATAATTGGTCTACCGACGRAAAAAGCTCTGGCAAAGTTGATTAATCCCGTTCATCCTTTGAACAGGCAGCTTRGCAGGCAGTCTGATCTGAGCAACCAATATGTTTTGTGTTGAGATATTTTTTAAAGGCACAATATATTTGCAAATATTTGCTGATTTAAATATGATTTAAAAATAGAAGATACTTAAATATTTGCCTTAAGGCAGAGTGTAGCTTTAATTTGGTGGTGTGTAAATAGTTAGGCTACAAYCATTAGCCGTTTGTTTACATTTTTAATAATAGCCCTTTAAGGAGTCAAGCCACGCCCACTCAGTTTAATAGTTACACTCCATTTATCAATCGTGGCTGACAAACCGGCTGAAGGCGGAGTTTGTGCACCATTAAAAGCGGCGTGCCCATTTCAGTCCAGCTGCTTAGTTTTGATGCAAAAGTAAAATCTATAAAGTCAGTGAGTGGCATGATTTAACGTGACACCGCATCCCGCGTTTCCCTTCATTTAGAAGGAAATCTTCCTTTCARACAGTCCTCATTTCCAGCCAGTTAATCTTCCGGTGGACTTAAAAGAAGCGCTCCGACCGCTAGATTTTTGTTTACACTCCRTGAAGAAGACAGCCACGTTTACTCAGTTTTGCTGCCATCTAGTGTCTCAGGTTACAAATTACATTTTAACAATGAAAGTTTTTTTAAAATAAGATCTTGGGTTTTTTTTTTTACAGATGTATAAATCCAATTCCATTCATGACAAACAACATTTTTTTAAGTCCTTGATTTTGTAAAAACCTAAAACACTATCATTATTACTATTATATATAATTTGTACTCTTCTATAATTTCTTTTTAGATATTGTGGTATTTTTGTTGTAAATGTGTTTTTTGTAATCTGGCTTTATGGCTGTCTTGGATAGTAAATTAGTTGTTTTTTTTCGTTTATTTACGCTTTAATTAATTCAAAAACAGATGTGTCGCTAATGCGTTGTTGCAATAACAGCACTTTAGACCCTCCTGACTTGCCGTATTCGCGGCGCGCCTCCGTCTTTCTGCACAAACGCACGTGGACCTTTACGCCAGGCACAAACAACAATAACATGGCAAGTCACGGGCTCTCTTACGACGGCTGCAATTTCTTCAGACAGCGGCTGGTTTTGTCGACGCTCAGCGGGAAGCAYGTGAAGATTAAAAACATTCGGTCTAAGGACGACGACCCGGGGCTCCGAGGTGAGTTTCAGTTTCGCTCCGMGCGTGKCGTCGCAGTTAGCTCGGTGGCTAAYGGGCTAGCTGTTACGCAGTTGGGAGTGCTTTCATCAGGTGGGGAAATGATGGGATAGATGTGWGAATTAAAGGTAAATGTAACTATCAAATTATTCCAGTTTATGTCCTTTTCAACACTTGTCAAATTGTATTGATAAGAGCATTTAAAGAGATGTCTCTGACTTTACATTATTTTGTTTTGTTCGATTTTTGCATGTCTGAACACGACAGGCTACAGTTAGACAAATTTGACTAATTAAATTGTAGATGCTTTCAAATATGTCATTTGAATGTTTATCTCCAGATTTTGAGGCCAGCTTCATCAGGCTTCTCGACAAAGTGACCAATGGTTCCAGGATAGAGATTAACCAAACTGGTGAGTGGTTATTAAAAGTTTTATATCCYTAAACTCTCGGTCATTCGTTGTAATGAGTAAGGAGTCTCCATTGTGCATCACTAATGGTGCGTAATTTATCAGTATTAAAGTTCTGGTCATTGGGACCTTTTTATTTATTTTTTAGCTGGATGTTTACTGCAGCAGACTTGATTCAAAGCTGATGAGCAGATCCGTTTATTTTAATTAGAGAAACATCTAAAACATGCAGAGTAAGGTTTTACCTGGAGCAGCATTGAGGAAACTCGTTAATTTAAAATAAATAGATGTGTGCAAACGATCTTTATTGGGACGCATGTTTCTGATTTAGCCTGTAAAGTTGAGCCCAATGTTTCTTCATTACAAAGATTATTGCCAGAGGTTAAAGACAGAAACTTACCTAATTACTAATCAAATAAACAATCATTCCACAATTATCTGKATACACCTGATACTGTTAGACTGATTTTAATGTCTGTTTTTGTATCTGTCTTTACTAGGTACTGTATTATTTTACCAGCCAGGCCTGCTGTATGGAGGGTCTATTGAACACGACTGTAACCCACAGCGCTCAGTCGGATATTATCTAGAGGCGCTGCTCATGCTGGCTCCTTTCATGAAGATGTCTCTGAAGGCAACTCTCAGGGGAGTTACTAACGACCCCACAGATCCAACGGTATGTATGAATAAAATCCCTCCCTGTTGAGCTGTTGCTGTGTGATTGGTTGTTTGTCAATAAGCAATTGAGCAGGTGGACTTAATAAAGTGGCTGCTGAGTGTATAAACCCAGCTGTGTTCTGGTGTCCTCTTCGTGATCCTAATTTTGTCTTATTGTTTATTTTCCTGTTTTGTTTCACCGGTTGTCATGACAGTCTAGCCTCTCACAGTGCATCTGAGCTGCATTGTTTCTGTCCGTGATCTGCATGGGACAGAGCTGTTGTCTTATGTTGTTGTGATGATGTATTTATTTTGTTGGCTTTTGTGCTGGTATATTTTCTTCCATCTGCAGAAACAGGAGCTTGTGTCAGGATTTATTCGCTCTATGTTTTGCAGGTCGACCTGTTGAAGTCCACGGCACTCCCTCTGATGAAAAGGTTTGGTGTAGACGGAGAAGGTTTTGACCTGAAGGTGAGGACTCGGTGCTAATCCGTCAACAGCTGTGGTTTAAAGATGCATTATCGTTTGGTGCTGGCACTTGAATAAATCGGTGTCTGTTTTCGTTGCTGCTCCCTCAGGTGGTGAAGAGAGGAATGGCGCCTGGTGGAGGTGGAGAAGTTGTTTTTACGTGTCCTGTGTGCAGGACGGTCAAGCCCCTCCAGCTTACTGAGCCTGGCAAGATCAAGAGGATCAGAGGTGTGGCGTATCCTTTTCAAGCTTGTTCAAAAAAAATTATTTCTACTGAAAATCCTCCTCACAAGCCTCTTAAAGGGGGGTGGGGTATTATGCAACATCGACTTTTATGATCTTCATCTTGTTATGTCATTCTCTAATCAAAAACATACCCAGAGTGTTGCTTTGACTCATTCATGCATGTTTGAGAAATCCTTGAATCTCCTGTGGTAACCACGTGGAGCTGCCTAAACACTTGCTGGTACAAAGCTCCGCCTATTTACACAAAGCTCCAGTCTGCAGTCGAGCTCCCGCCCACAGAGCACCTCTCCTCGAAGCTTTGTTGTGAAGATGTTCTGAAGTGGGAGTGTTGGGAACATTAGGAGGTTCTTAAAGAGACAGATACATAATCCC